CTTGCTTCCTTGCTTCCTTGCTTCCTTACGTTGTCTTACGTTGTCTTACGTTGCCTTACGTTGTCTTACGTTGCCTTACGTTGCCTTACGTTGCCTTACGTTGTCTTACGTTGCCTTACGTTGCCTTACGCTGCCTAAAAATAAATTTGTCCACCCAATTTATCAGGAGCAGTACTTGTTTATACACATGGCGATTCTCGAGCATCTCACATGTAGGATCACAGAGGTACAAGCACAGCAACTGGGGAAGACGATCAAGAAACTGACTATATACGATCGTAAAGAGAAAATCACGGGATTTGAAAAGGAATTCAAGGTTTGTATTATTCAGTACCAATAATCACCTTTATACTTTTAATGCTTTTTACTGATGTTGTGTTTTATATATTTATTTTTAAATTTTTGTGTTTATTGTGGTCAAGCATCTTTCAGCCCTTTGTCCTGATGTCCCCAAAGACGAGATGAAAATTGGAAGCAAAGCTTGTAACAGCAAGAAAAACAGGTTTCAGCACATCCTGCCTTGTACGTTTGACAACTCCTATTTTTTTATATGAACGCTTTTTAGTATCACGTGATGGCAGCCATGGCAGGAGACACAACATTAGAGTCTTTCTTCTCAGGAAAACTGAATTATTTCTTGTTTAAATCAGATTAGACCAGAATCAATTGTTCCTGCCTCCTGTCATGGCTACCATGACTTGATCGTGCAAAGTTTCTATAATAATTTCATAATTGCTTAAATTACATCAATATATCTTCCCACAAAAGGGGAGCAATATTCTACCATTGACACTACATGTAATCTCTTTTATTATTATTGCTTTCTTTACTGGTCACTTTTGACAAAATATTAATGATTAGGGATGTGACTTAAATAAGCTTGAAAACATTACGCATATATGATATTTATCGAAAACCATTTTTCTTTATAGTAGATAGACTCAGATATATATTCACCGATTATGGACAACACATATATTTTTCTTGAGTATTATTATTTTCATTGCTGACCAGTGATTCTTGAACCAATAAAAATGAATATGGATGTGAATCAAATAATTTGGAAAACTTTTGTCTTAAAGGCAATTAATCTACAACCTTTCTCTTATAGTGGATAAAGCTAGAGTTATTCTACAAGCTGACCCGGATAAAGGGGGAAATGACTACATCAACGCCTCATATGCCAACGTACGTTATTTTTTAATAATGTAATGATCTCTTATAAATTATTAATATTTGTAAATAAATTCATTAACAATTTTTGATTGGAAAATTTTTGGACTTTGATTTCTTAGGGCTACAGACAAAAGGACGCGTACATTTTGACCCAGGCTCCTCTCGACACCACCATCGCTGATTTCTGGAAAATGATCTATGACAACAAACTGGGAACCATCGTTATGCTGAATGAGAATAAAGAGGAAAAAATGGTTAAGGGATTTTCTTTGCATTGCTTGGTATAATTATTTGAATGAATCCCGTTTCAAGCCTATCCCGACCCATGCTTACCTTGATCATATAGTACGTTGTATTGGAAGAGTGCATCCATGAGAATAAAGGGCCAAAAGATGTGGTCGCCATTTTGGTTGACATGACAAAAGACACCAAGAACAAACTCTCTTGTCAACGTCAACCATAATGTCTCTATATATATATATATATATTTTTTAGGAATTATTTAGGGATATTATTGCAATTTTATTAATATTTTATTAAGTAATTTTAAGGTACTTTAGCTCTTGATTTAATTTTTCTTTTTTAGGTCTAGTATTTTTTTAGGATAATCTAGTTTTGAATTTATTGTAAAGCGCCACTGGACATTTATGGAAGAGGCGCTACATAAGAAATATTTATTATTATTATTATTTATTTATTACATACACCGAAAGAATTCAACATTCCCAATCTGAGACTCAAAACAGTGAACTGCAAATTTCATGAAAAATGTTTTCAGATGTCATAATATTTATACATTTATAAATATCTTTTATCAGAGTTACCCTTCATACTGGCCTGAAAAGGGATCATTGGAGTTTGGGAACATCCCAGTTGAAATCATCCAAAAAGAAACTGAGAAATCCATAGTATCACGAGTGTTTACACTGACTCACAAATCAGTAAGTTATTCCACTTTCGTTACACATTCGATGCTATGCCATAAACAACAAGCGAGTTGAGCTTGTTTGATGTGTTAACCTCTTCCTTGGCAGGAGGGTCATCGCCAACTATTCCGGTCATGCGCCGCTCGGCAAGTCAGCGGATATCATGTATAAAATAAAAACCACAGGGAGCCCAAGCTCTCTCAGGTCCGGATTTAGAGAAACAAAACTTTTTGCTACGATATTCCTGTGCTTTAATAGGTATCCTATTACAAACGATGGCAAACGAGAGCTGAGGATTCAAGCTTTATTTTGGTATTTTGCGAATAATTCTAAAGGTTTTTACTTCACAAAGTGCCTATTCTTGAAGAAAGGATCTCACAAATATTCGTCTCAAATCGGAGCTTTTTGGAAGTAAAAAAGGAAAGGTATAAATTCGTTCAATCGACCCCGGCAAATGAGGTAACTAATTCTGATTTTGAGAAATCCTGTTTATAATATTTGACCTTTTGTGTTTTTCTTGCAATTTAACAAACCACATATGGCAAGAAGGCTGTTAAAATCTAACTATCGAGGCGAAAAGGTTTTTCCAAACAAATTAAAGTATGTTTGGTAAAAATCAAATGCTTTAATGTTATAATTTTTTTTTTACCCCGGCAGGTGGAAAACTGTTTACACAGAAAATTTTAAATCGAAAACTATCTTGACTCTCTATACATTTCTTTGTAAAATCTGACTTAACTCGCTTAACACTTTTATGTGACACCGCTGCATTTGTACGCGGGTGAATGTTCGGAATAGTTGGCGATGTTTTCTCAGGGTTCTTGGGTTTTTCCCCCCTCCGTTTTGTCTATACATCCATCCATCCATCCATCCATCATCATTTTCTATAATTCCATAATGTTAACCCTCATGATCTATAATTCATTAATCCAGGATGGTCCAAACAAACCACACAAAGTGAGACATCTACAGCACACAGGATGGAGTGATGGATCCGTACCGGGAACTACAACATCTGTGTTGGATCTTGTTGAAAAAATACAAAGATCACAGCAACAGTCAGAAAATAAGCCGGTCGTTGTGTTGTGCAGGTAGATATTACCATATCACATTTTTAAATAGACCTCTATACCTTGGATATAATGTTTCAGACCACGTGTCATTCTGGAGAATAAGATCCTTCGTTTGAGTTGTATACATATATACATAAGCGTCTTCTGATGTGCAACCGTTGAACAAAGAAACGACACTCTAGGGCACGTGGTCTGAAATGGAAAATCATTTCTCCAAAGCCAAAAAAGGGTATTGCAGTACATTTTAAGGTTATCCCCCCCGCCTCAAAATACCTGGGTTTCAATCAGCTGATAAAAATAGTCTTTTGAATCTCAATATGTGCTCGAAATAGAGGTTAAGCACACACCAAGTACTGTCAGACAGAAAGAATTCTATTTAAAAAAATTCCACAAAGGACAGGAAATGACGTAGCTAGGAGGATGGACCGGCTTTCTTAATCGGTAACAATGTAACAATTTTTATGAGAAAAAAAATTGCTTTCACCCGTATGAATTTATTCTCAAGCGCTTGAATGCGAGGCCGCCCGTGGAGGAATCTATCGTTGAAACCAGCATGGCCGCCGCGTGAAAAAGTCCCATATTATAGATAAGATCTGGATTTATTCTCAATTATTTTCCYCTTGTCCTTGTTACAGCGATGGTGTAGGTCGTAGTGGTACGATGTGTACAATCCTGTCACTACTCGACCGTGTCAAAACCGAACAAATGGTGGATGTCTTCCAGACTGTGAAAGCACTGAGAATATCGAGGCCTGGAGCCGTGGACACTGCGGTGAGTTTATCATTGTTTGTCTCTTTTCCCTATTCTTGACCACTTTCAACCAATAATATAGTTTCTAACCCCACTTTCCCCTTCCCTGATTAATCTCTCGTACCTCGCTCGCCTCTCAYCCAATGGATGCGTCCTGGGTTCGAGTGCCACGGGGCTCGGAGTCGCATGAGAGTAGAGTTGCTTATTGGTTCTCTCCTGTACTGTAAAGGTTTTTCTCCGGGTTCTCCGTTCTAGATCTTCTTCCACTTCAAAAATCAGCTTCCAGGAAATTCCAATTGGGATTTCAGTGCGTAAAGAGCCATTATGTGGAAATTCCACTGTTAAATCCTACACGTTTTATTGTATTCGTTTATTCTTTGTGTACCAAAACGAAWTTGGTTTTATCTGATTAAATTTAAAATTCATTATTGGTTTATTTCSCCTTTTCTTTTCTTCAGATCCAATACCAGTTTTGTTTCCAAGTAGTTATGGATTACCTGGAGTCCTTCAGCGAATATGCAAACTTCAATGGTTAAATTAAGGGCATACTAGACATCTTTACCTTGGACGTGTTATGTGCATTTCCTATTTCAGACCACGTGCCATTCCCTAGAGTATCTTCGCTCGTCTTCKCACTTGTTGCYATCTTCAAAATCTTATAATCTCAAGTCATATGGTTTACGTTCTTTCTCAGTTGCTGCTCCGTTCCTCTGGAACTCTCTACCTTCTTCAATTAGAGATATTTCCAGTTTATCTTTATTTAATTCTAAACTCAAGACTCATTTATTTTTAAATAAAAGTTAGCTTTTTCTTTATAATCATACTATCTATCTTATTTATTTATTCCTTTACGTTATGTTACTAAGCGCTTAGAACAGACTTGTATAAGCGCTATATRAGCCATATATATTATTATATTATATTATCATTCCATTGTTTAACGGTTGTGCACAAGAAGACACATAAATATGGATACAACTGAATCGAATTGAATCTTATTCTCAAGAGAATGACACG